TTTTTCAGCTTGAGAAATACTAAGCGTGTTTTTCACTTTTGATTTTCTAATTCTGAGTTTTTGAACATTTCATTTAATACTTGATTTTGCCTTCTTGAGCTACCCCTTGAAAACTTCTGTTCAGTGTTTTAACTTCCTCATTTCTTCCATTTTCTTTTAGCATCTTTGTACTGGATGGGAAATTTCAGAGTCTCTTCTGACATACATTTTGGTCTTTTCTTTCTTGTCTTCTTCATGACCTTTTACTTTCTTCCTGTATGATGTTCTTGATGTCGTTTCTCAGCTCTTCTGGTCTTTGGTCATTAGTGTCTAATGTATCAAATCTGTTTTTGAGATGGCCTCTAAATTCAGGTGGGATATGGTCAAGGTTGTACTTTGGTTCTTGTGGAGTGGAATTGTTTTCATTTTCTTCAGTTTTAGTCCAGAGTTCTTCAAATCTGAGATATCTTGAAAAAAAAGTCCTGGAAATCTGCTTTTAAAATGTCATAGCCCTAAAATTGCTATGGAACATAGCTCTCCTCTGCATACATTGGTTCACCAGGAGACCTATTGGTTCTGTTTTTCTAGAGCACCCTGATTAGTACAGCACCTGAGTAAACTATGATACACTCTAAAGAGCTTGTTAGAAGAGACAGAGGATGTAATTGACCAGGGCCCAAATTTAAGGAGTGCCTTGGGAAGCTATAATAATCACAGCTAAATTTAAGGCCATCAATACAAAGAAGTTGATAGACTTGAATGTGTGTTTCACTCTTGTTGATGCCAGTGGACCCTGTTTGAGTCACATTGGGATACCAAAGTAATAATACCCAAGGAGATGGTCAATCCAGTTATGAGGATAGTGAAGACATACAGTTGATGAGTATGATGAGATACACCCTTCTCTTCAAAGAGGTTTTGCAGCAATGAATCAGTCTTATGAAGTGGCAGGTGAGAAAAAATGTTTTGCTGGAGACATATGAAACCTGCAACCTGCAACCTTTGAACTCAGTTGTGTGTTTGGTGTGCTGGACTGTTTACAAATGATAATTTGCACATCTGCCACTACCAACTGCTCTGAAAGGGATCACATTGGTTAGAGCAGGGAAAATTGTAGAAGAAAATAAAAAAAATCATAAAAATGATCAGGCTTATGAGTTGAATAGAGTGTGGTGGAACCCCTGAGACTATGACCCTTAGTCACCCTTCAGGTCTGGAAGTGGTCTTTCCTCCATTACTCAATTTCCACCCAAGTAATAAACAGGGAAACAATAACATTAGTGAGGTATGCACACTGTAGAATACGAAATCACTTGAGATCAAAAGGGCAGCATTTACCCAAGAACAAAGTTCAGAAAGGTTAGGAAAGAAGGAAGAATGGAAACAAAACAGGAAGGAATTGGGACATGTGATGTTTCATTGTGGGAATCACAGTAAAAGACATGGAATAAAATGTGGATGAACTGTTGAATGGAAAACTCATCTCCTCTGTAAATCTTCACTTAGATTACAATAAAATGAAACAAAACAAAACAAACTGCATCCCTCAGAGGTTTATCTGAAACAGGGTCAATCCCAAACCACCATCTTAAATATAATTTATTTTCCCTGGAATTCATAATCTTTGAATTATTTGAAACTGGCTTAAAGGTTCTTCACTGGTCAACTCTCTCTGAGCCCTAGTCACTATCTGAAAAAAAATCACTGTTGACTCCTAACACTTTGGTTTTGAAATTCTAGAGCCAACTGGAATATGCTAGATGCTTTTCTACTTCTCCAGGGAGGAAAGCTGGTATGAGAGAATGATTTCTTAGTTCTTAGACAACTAAGTCTTAAATCTTGTTGCTGTTGTTCTTAAGTGCCATCAAGTCGGTTTTGACTCATAGTGACCCTATGTACAGTTTCCAAGGAGAAATGGGTGGGTTATAACTGCTGACCTTGTGGTTCAAACTGACCTTGTGGTCTAGTGCTTATCCTACAGCGCCACACTAGAACTCCAAGTCTTAGATCTTAATCAATCTTAAATTCAAATTCTGGTTCTGTCAATTGTCAAATGTGTGATCTTGAGCAAGAAGAGACTGTTTGTTCTCTCTGTGAATCGTACCTTTTTCAGACAGTCACATTAGCACCTACTTACACAGATAAGATAAAATATGAAGAACTTGACAGCATTGTCACTCTCCTTTCCCTTTTAGAACCCTCGGTTTCCTGGAAATCAAGTACAGATGTCATTTACAAAGGTGCTAGGATGGTGCTCAATCTTTAGTATACTTAAGAAATATATCTGGATGTCTAGCTAATTGTGGATTTCCTTCTAGTAGGTCTATAAAAGGAGTCCTGATGTGTCCCTGTAGGATAATCACTGTACCGCAAGGTCAGTTTCAACCACAAGGTAGGTGGTCATAACCCACCAGCCACTCCTTGGAAATGCTCTACAGGGTCCCTATGAATTGGAACCAACTTGACAGCACTTAACCACAACAAGAGGTCTGGGATAAGCAGCCCTGGTGGAACAGTGGTTAAAGCACTTGGCTGCTGGCCAGAAGATCAGCAGTTGATGAGAAAAAGGAGAAAGTGCAGTAATTTCATTCTGTAAAGACTTACAGCCTTGGAAACCCTGGGGGCAGTGCGACTCTATTCTGTAAGGTGTTATTCCTCAGAATTGACTTGATGGCAGTGGGTTTTGTTTTGTGTTGTCTTTTAGGTCTGGGGTGGAGTCGGAGATTTCACATTTCCATCAGCTCCCAGGTAATGTGTACTAGGCTGATCTTCAGGCTGCACTTTGAGTAGCAAGGGGTTAGATATTTTCCCACTCAATAAGGCCCTTATTAAATAACTATTAGAGGAAACTCTGGATGATCAGTTTAAGAATTTTGAAGTCCAAATTGTGTTCTTTAGCACAAAATTTCTTCTTGTGCTCTGGATCTACCCTGGCTTTGCAGGGCAAATCAATTGACGAGTTGACTGAAGAAAATTAGAAAACACAATGTGTTTCAGAGAAGTTATCCCTTAATAACTTATTAAGGATATGAAATAAAAATCAAAAGGCACCATGACAAAGGGAGAACTCTAAGAGACAAGAAGAGCTATCTGAAGCTCCCCAAAGGTAGGAGAAAGGTCCACCCTTAGAAACATTTGGAGGAACTGTTTGGTTTGTAAATCACATTTGCCTTATTCTTAAGTCCCTCCAGAATATTTGTTTGTACAAACTAAAATAATGTTATGTGTTTTCTTGGTGGGGTTGGATGAGGTGTGGTTGTGTGACCTGTGCCTACACCAGCAGGAATCTGCCAGTGAAGGTGTTGGCAATAACAGTTCAGCACTTTCATAAATGTCCCTTTGTTTTTAGATAGTCTACTATGACTCAGGGGCACTTAACAACAACAACAACTACAGACTGGGAGTACTGGTGTGTGCTGTAGAATAAACACTGAACTGTAAATTGCAAGGTCAGTGGTTCAAACCCACCAGCCACTCCACTGAAACCCCATACAGGTTGTTATGTGTCGGAACCCACTTGATAGCATTTAACAACAACAACTACAGAGTGAAACTTTCTAGGGACAGTAACGAACATTGCCTCAAATCAATGGAGGATCAGCAATCTATTCTATACCTACAAAGCTCTCCAATGTTTTCTTGCACTTGCTATCTCGATCCATGTCCAATTAAGGCACAATAAAGGATTCCTGGTGTGGCACTGTTGTGGTTGTTAAGTGCCGTCAAGTCAGTTCCAACCCAAGTCAGTTCTGACCCTGTATAGGGTTCCTGAGGAGCAGCTGGTGAGCTTGAACTGCCGACTTTGTGATTCAAACAGACTTTGCAGTCCAGCGCATTAACCCACAGCGCCAAACCAGAAGTTCAGTGTAGTGCTGTAGTATAAGCAAATTATATTATTTGTTACTTACACTTCATTCCCAGCAACTTGTTAATTTTATATCAAAGGGTATTAATGAGTTTCTGGAAGGCTGGGGTAATGCTAAATGAATGAATGGAACATACAGTGATGATTTATTACAGGTATTTTGAGGAATAGAAGAGAGGTATAGTCAAGCTTCATGACTCCAAAGTGCTTACAATTTAAGAAGAGTTCATACAGATTGTCACTGGAGCCTCATCCTGGCCAAGAATCATAGTAACAAAAAATACACACCTCTTGTCATCAAGGCAATTCTGACTCATAGTGACCTTATAGCACAAAGTTTCCAAGGCTAACCTCTTTATGGAAGCAGACAGATGTCGTCTGTGGAGCAGTTGTTCTGTTTGAAGCACTGACCTCAGTTTAGCAGCTTAGTGCTTAATTGCTGTACCACCAGGACTCCTTGGCAGAGAATAATAAATACCTTAATATATTCTCTAGGTAATAAAGACACTCACCTGGTATGAGTAACTATATCTGTCAAGGCACCGCCTTCTAAAAATTCCATGACTACCCAGAGTTCATCACTGACAAGATAGCTGTTGTACATGTCAACCACATTGTCATGGTGGTAATCCCGCATTATGACAACCTGGACAAAAAGGAAAGACAGCTTTTAAAATGGGAATGTGAAATTTGATATATATATATTCCTTTTCTTTTCTTTTTGTGGTCACACATTCATTGGTAGTACTATTGATTGGTTGGCAAGTACGGACTGTACAGAATGTATTCAGTAATCTATAGATAAAAAATGGCATCAAGGATAAGAAGTATACATAAAAGGAATCAAGTTAGTAAATTTGGGAGAAATTAAGCAGGCCCACTGGACATTAGAGAAAGAGAGACAAAAGGAGTTGGAGGGCAGAGAGAATTTTGGAAGTTTTGCATTCACAAAGGGAGGGTTAGCTCGTTGCCAAAGGGGAATACGATCAGATTCTTCAGAATGTACTCTCCATACCAATTGTTGATTACCGTGGCAAGAGTCCCCACTATAGGGCAATAGTCCCATAAGAAAATAATGTAAACCACTGTGGGGGCAGGGCCACATAAGGCCACTCAAGGCTTTCCTTGGGAGAAGGTCTGAGTTGTCAGACTCGACTCAAAACAATTTCTGCATACTTTTGAGAGAACATTCATGGATTTCTCTGAGAGTTAGGAGATGTGGCTTGTACATATTTGGCTAAAGACCAACAGAGTCTCATACTTTGGAAAACTGACTTGGTACATTTGGGATTTTCAGCTTTCCCATCCACACAAGATCATCTGTCTCCTCAAGACTCACATAAAACTATGAAAGGGCTGTTACTCAAAAATGCTTTGTGTTTCCTGGACACATGTTTCCCCATCCATGTGTGCTTTAGAATGTTCAGCTGATACGTACCATTAAGAGGCAAATACAAAGGTGAAAATACATGTATGACAAGCATAATGAAAAGGGTTGGTTATTTAATAAAGAGTGAGCCAAATGCACCATTTACCTCATTAAAAAGCAGTTCTCGTCTTTGTTGCTTTCGGAGGTCCATTTTCTTCACAGCCACTTGCTTCCCTGTGTGTTTCTCAGTGGCGATGCACACAATACCGGTTGACCCTTCCCCTATTTTGATGAAGTTGTCCAAGTATTCCCTGGGGTCTCCTGGGCTGACCACCAGTTGCAAGGCAGCCCGAAACTGTTCGTGGGACACCCTGGAGGGCTGCTGGTCTGAGGAGGAACTCCAGCTGGGTGGAGGGTAGGTACTGGATGAGATACTCAGAGAGCTCAGGTAAGAAGCTGTGGAGATGTACTGTGAACTGGTCTGCAGAGAGGGGTGGTGGTACAGAGTGGCTTTGTGGTACCCAGATGGGTACTGGTGGCTGCTTGGAGAGTAGCCCGCTTTGCTTTGACTTTGAGGTAGCTTGGTGGGGCCCCTGGGGTAGGTGTCAGACCCGGACAGTGGAGGGCTGAAAACCATCTGTGCCCGGTCATAGTCCACCTGTGAAGAATGACAGACTGGATTTGAATGTGGACTAGCCATTTGACAGTGAGTCAACCTACAGCTGGGTCAAACGACACTTACCTGGTGAGGTGACACGATCTCTCCTGCTATCATCATTTCTTGACCCTTCCAACCTCATCATCCAGCCTCTCCACACTTTCTTCCCTTGTCCCAAATAAATCTCCAGAAGTATACCAAGACCTCAACTTCAATGCAAATAGTGGCGCTTGTTGAGCATATTCATAGTTTAAAATTTATCACAAGGGGAGAAGTACTGAATACTTTATAGAGAAAATAATGACTCAAAATTAATGACCTGGTTATGAATGTTAGCAATTCCAAGAAGGACAGCCATTTCTCAACAGTTTAATGACTTTTCTGTTATTGTTTGCATTTTAAGAAAATTATATGGTGTAGGAGTCTTACCATGTCTGATTCTTTACCACATTGTTGGTAAAGAATTCAGCTGTCTTGTTGCTACTGAGGATCATTTTATGTATTATTTACCTATTGCTATAAAATGAAGATGAAATAAAATGTCTTTCCAGGAAAAATAGTCATTTTATTCATACAGCAAGCAGGGAGGGGCAAGTGGTAATATTTTAGATAGAGGCTTCAGGCAGGGTATCTCTGATGGAGTGACACATGAGATTTCTGAGTGAAGGGAGGGAGGAACCCTTTGAGGATCAGAAGGAACCGGCCTCCAGGAAGAGGGGACAGCAGGTGCAAAGCTTACAGTGTGGCTGGAGCAGAGCAGGATGAGCAAGGGCCAAACTGGAAGGAGATGAATTAGTTTGGTAAGAGAGAACTGAATCATGCAAAGACATTGACTGGATCTGATTCTTAGTTTCAACAGAAACCAATTAGAACATTTTGAAGATAAGAGTTGCATGGCCTGCCTTCAGTTAAGGCTTCCTTGGTCTGCTGTTTGAAGAACTGACTATAGTAGGGCAAGAGAGATGCAGAAAAACCAGTTATCCGATTCCTACAATAGGCACACTGGTGGCACAATGGTTAAGCTTTTGGCAGCTAATCATTGGGTCTGCGGGAGAAAAGACCTGGTGATCTGCTATGAAGTTTATAGCTTGGTAAACCCTCTTGGGGCAGTTCTTCTATGCCATGTAGGGTCACTATGTCTGTTTTTTTTTTATTGTATATTAATTCATTACACTATATATTAATTTATTAAGGTAGTAGCTCATATACAAAATATCTCTATATGTAAGGTGCCCTCAAAAAAGTTCATGGGAAAACTCCATTATCTTTTCATTTTCCATGAATTTTTTTTAAAAAAAGTTTTATTGTGAATTGAGTGATAGTTTACATGGGAGAACATTGGTTTTACATTCATCATTTCATTCCGATGATTCCAATCTCCTCTGTGCATCATCATTCAACAGTATTTACTTCTACTCTCTCTGTTGTTGTTTTTTAAATTTTATTACTGTGTGTAATGTGTGGGGGCGGTATACACAAAAACACTCAGGAATATATAGTCATTTAAACAACCAAAGGGCCCATTTTGTAAGACTGCCTTCTGGCCACCACCACCTGGCCACCAGCACACAACCTTTCTCTTTCCGTGAACCTAGGGTCCTCAACTGCTCTAACTCTCCTTGTCCTCATCTCTGCCTCCATCTCTGGGGTCACTGCTTCTCTGGATAGGGTCCCACATTCAGCTCATGTTCTTCTCCTTTGATAGTCCTAGAGTCCTCTGTTCCTGGTCTGTAACATTAACTACTCCCCTCTTTTTGTTACAAAACTTATACCTTTACAGTTGTGACAGTGGCAATTAGTCATGATAACAATTGCTCGCTATTGAATCATAAAATCTTATCCTCATCTCTTTTCACCAGACCAATCTAGACAAGATGAATACTATTCAATGGGGATTTTACCTTCTGCCATATATTCTGAAACTAAAGACCCTCTTAAAAACTTATAAGCCAGTCACTTCAAGCCTTTACAACACCCCCATTTTAGGTAGCCGATTTTTAAGTTGCCCATCCCTATCAGCCCTATATACAGAGGGGATAGGATTAGGATCACTACCAATGCTAGTCCAATTAAGTGATGACAGTGACTTGGTCAAAGCTGATAACAGCTGACATTGAGAAGAGTGGTCAAATTCAGTACAGATTTTGAAAGCAGGGACCTTATGGATTGATATGCATAATGTTAACAAAGGAAATGATGGTTCCACAGTTCAAAACCAGCGTTAAAAAGGTGTCAAAATGTTGCCAAATGGCCCCGTGTGTGTGTGCATGTATGCATGCATATATATGTCTGTATGTGTGTGTAATAAAGCAGAATCATTTCTAGCTGAGAACCACTGCTTTAAAAAAGGAAAGTGACATTGACAGAGATAGATATTGTAGGCGATGAATGGACATGACTGAGGCACCAACAGTGTCCACTACACCCAGCAAAGAGCCTCTATCACCCATGTGCACCACTTGGGCATGGGCCGTGACCAACCTATGTTTGCTATGTTCCTATTTTCTTGTTGGAGGATCGGGGATGGTGGTAGAATCCTTTGTTAAAGGACCTCATGCTTTACCTAGTCTTTTAGGGAGACATTTCAGAGTTGGGAAGACTTTTTCATGCTTTTGAACTCACATACCAAGGGGTCATAGTATTATGCATTCACACAAGGCAGCAGAGACCTATAAAAGGGAAAATATGTCCCCCTGTGTCTAAATGGCTTTTAAATAATTGTAAATACATGCAAATTTCTTACCAACTAAGAACAAATATAATTGAGAATAACCAAAATTGGCAAAGATGTGTGTAAAAGGGGAATTTCGTCAGTTTCTCAAGGGGACCCAGCAAACAGCATCCTAATCTGATTTAAAGAATGGGTTGAGATGATTTAGGGAAGGAAGAAGAGGAGGTCATGTTAAGCAGGGACAGAGGCATGGGAACCGGTGAAAGAATTATTAGATATGACATTAAACATGGGTTCTAGTAATCCCTCCCTAGAAGGGATCAGGAAGGAGCTCAGCCACTCCCGGAATGACTGAGGTCAGGGATGGGAGTATATTGTACAGAAGCTGTCACTTTTGTCTCCTTGCCCAGGGTAGACAGCACTAATTAAGCATCACACTATTTTCTGCAAGACTTTGACACAGCATACCCATGAGTACCGAGAAGGTATTAAAAAAAATTGTTGATTTTATTTCAATCTCCTTCTTAACAAGGTGGCTCAGGAAGTCTTTACCACTAATGCGTGGAATAGCATTTACTTGCCCTCCAAGAACCACAAGGATCGAAATCTGCTTTAATATTACAGCTACTGGCCACAAACCACATTTAAAACTATATGTGGCTAGTGACTATTGGCCCAGGTACCAGGCAGTGTAGGTACAGAATATATCCACTACTGCAGAAAGTTTTATCAGGTAGCACTGTTGTAAGTGATTAATTGCTTCTATGTAAGGAGCTCTGGTAGCGTAGTGGTTACGAATCGGGCTGTGAACCTTAAGGTCAGCGGTTTGAAACTACCAGCTGCTCTGCGGGAGAAAGATAAGGCTTTCTACTCCCGTAAAGATTTACACCCTCGGAAACCCTATACAGGGTCGCTATGGGTCAGAACCGACTCGAAGGCACTTAACAACAACAACAACAATGTAATACATTCATTTGTGAATTCATTCAGACCACAGATTAATATTTGAGCAGCTATATTGTGCTAGGAAGGAGCTCTGGTAGCGTAGTGGTTACAAATTGGGCTGTGAACCGCAAGGTCAGCAGTTCGAAACTACAAGCTGTTCCATGGGAGAAAGATGAGGCTTTCTGCTCCCGTAAAGATTTACAGCCTCGGAAACCCTGTACAGGGTCGCTGTGAGTCGGAACCGACTCCACAGTACATAACAGCAACAACAACAAATGTGCTAGGAGTCCTGGTGTGGCACTGTAGGATAAGTACTCGACCGCAAGGTCAGTTTGAACTGGAAGGTTGACAGTTCAGATCCACCAGTCACTCACTCTTTGCAAACCCTATACAGGATGTTATGGGTTGAAACTGACTAGATGGCACTTAACAACAATGTGCTAGGCACCGTTTCCAGTGCTTGGGATTAGAATCCAATAATAATCAAAATAGATGATATTTGACTCTATTGACCATCCCAGAATTTGCATTTAGATCATGGTACAGATGTTGGGTTTTGTTTGGGTGAGATGGGAGCCATTGCTGAGGAGACTTATGTGTCCTGATTCTCTTTGGCTTTGGGAGAAGAGTGAAAACAGGGATGCAAGTTAGGTTTCTGCACTCAATGTGGGCTGAGAGTATGGTAATTGCAGTAGATGGGGTGACAAATGGTGGGATCCAAAGAAGGGTCTGAAAATAGAGATGGCGATTTGCTGATGGATTGAATGAAAAGTCTGAAAGAAAGGAGTCAAACATGAGATACAAAGATTTTGGCTAAAAGATATAAAGAATACAGGGACAGGAGCCCTTGTGGAGTATGATAACCAAATTCCAAGGGAGCTCCCAATAATCCTGCCTCCTAGAGCTTATATCCTAGTGTAGTCCCCTCCTGCATTATATCAGACTGATTTGTTGTGGTCAATAGAATACAGTAGAAGTGATGGGGAAAAACTAGGTCATAAAAGACATTGTAGCTTCGTTGCTGTCTCTCTTGAATCACTCCCTCTGGATTCCCCCTGCTGTCATGTTTTGAGGACATTCAATCAGTTCTATGGAGAGGTCCATGTGGTTTGAAACTGAAGTCTCCTGCCAAGAACCTTCTGACCCCAATCATGTAAGCAGTCTTGGAATGGTATATTCCAGCTTCAATCAAGCGCTGAGGTAGTTGTAACTCTGAGTAATATCTTGACTGCAAACTCATGAGTGATCCAGGCAAGAATTGCCCAGTTACACGGGGGAAGGATTGCATGGAGGGGACTGTAACCATGGCAATGAGATGATATACGATGGAATGAATGTAAAAGTAATATTCTCCCATGTAAACTATCACATAATTCACAATAAA